GAGTAAAATTGGCTATGTAGATTTTTTACTTGAGGACTAATATGGGGTTGGAAAGAATTATGTTCTTGAGGTTTGAGAATAACTTATAGATATTTTGGTGGATTTCCGCGAAACTAAACTTTATTGTGGTTTTTAATTTGTTTGTAAATTTTGCAACCATTATAGTTCGATGAGCAATTTTCGATACGATATACGAAGATAGGTGCGCTATTTGTATCTTTAGTACATTCCGAATAATGGTGTTGTTCTGGATATTTACCACATTTAGGAGGTAATTAATAAAAATATTTTTTATACTTAATTAAAACGTTAACGATTTTGACATTGAGGATATATAGTTCATAGTTGTTATTTTCCATCATTATTACACACTGGAAGAGACGATCAAGAGAGAAAATGTTATTCGCTGATTTATCAAGAATTGTAGCGACATTTGAGATTGGTGATTTGTTACGGTTCTGATGGCAGATTACATAAGTGACATTGTAGTCTAATTTATTATTAGAGAGAGATTTCTATTTACCGATAGTCGATATGTATGAGACTTTTAATTTCGGTAAGATATTTTATAACAGTGAGATGGTCATCGAAGGTTGATAAGTTCAATTTTAGGAAGATATTTTGTTTTTAGAAGTTTTGGTCAATCGACGGGCCAAATCAGACCCTTTGCGTCTGACTGGCATTGTTTATTGTATAATCGATTTCTATACACAAACAGACAACAGTGAACAGAATTAAACTAACAAGTTATTAGAGATAAACTGAATAATATTTGTATACTGTTATGTGGAAACTCACCATAAGCAATATCCTTGATTGAGCATTATTATTTATTTTAAACCATCAAATACAATAAATACTAAATAGTTATAGTTTTACACGTAAATATTAAAAACTATTTGTGGATAGTCACCATTTACACTGTTGCGTGCGTATTTTCAGCGATCAATTATTTTAATAATTTGAATAAATAAATAATACAACTAATTAACAAATATAAGGTTTTTATTTAAATTAAACAAAGTATAATTTAAATAGTTAAATAGTGGCTAAGTGGTTGAAAGTGCTCTCATCTTAACGGTTATGGTACATCAGATCTTTTTGCTCTCTTAGCTCCCTTATAAATGAAATAGTTTCCTTGTTATTGTTGTCTGCGGCCTTGCATTTCGTAGATATCCTTTGAGTTGTTTTTGATATTTATAATTGTTGAAGAACAATCTCTAGGATGCAATTTACTCATAATTGCCAACACGTGCCAGTGGAATCTCTTGTTTCATAAGAGTGACCTCGATGCTGCGCTTCTGTCCTAATAATTGAAACGTGCAAGTGCAATCCTTTATTGAAAACGGGTGATCGTTTATGAGCTTATATTTTATTCGTCTTCAGGTCCTAGAGTGCAGCGTGTCTTTAAAATATTTATTTTCAATAATTGTTTCCAACTTAATGGGGTCTCGAGTCATTTTTGAGAATTCTTAATCTGGTGTTTTCTAATAACTACAAAAATCAGAAATGGTTTCTGTTTCCTGTCCTACTAGACACCCTATCTCTTTGTTATTAAATTCGCCATTAACTGTGCTTTTCCATTTCTTGATAACTCTCATAAATATTTTAATTTCTATTTCGCATGCTATCATGAGATAATATGCTCTAAGACGAGAGCTCAGGCCAAATTTAGTGTTCGGTTTCAGAAATTATTACGAGTGTTTCAATCTCTGAATTCGTTATAAATTTGAATTCAAAAGTTGCTTATAATCGCTCTTTACTCGAACTGACTGTAAGCTAAAAGCCGATCCTAGATCTTTTGAGACTTTGTCCGGGAGAATAAATTTTGTGAAGGGATTTCATATACTGTTAATTAAAAAAAAAAAAGAATGATCTGGGCTCTAAATCAATTTCTAGCCTCTTTCTTCTTATTTTATCACAGTTTGGTGTTATTAAGTATGTAGAAAATTTTAATTAAAGGTAACACTATGGGTGAACCGTGCAAGTGTGTAGCAAATCATAGCTATGTCTATTACACTTGTAGACCTGGAATTTGTTGCAAAGGTAATATATAAGAGCCAATTTTTTAAACTTAGGAATTTAAAGAAGAGGCTGTATATAAACTGCGGCAAAATATACCTTTTTCTAAAAGTCGATATGTAAACTGCGGCAAAAAAAAAATTAAGATAATACAATCTGCGGCAAAACTGATAAGATACATTACACAAACTGCGGCAATTTATTTTTTATAGGTACCTTATATTATATACTATATCATATATACCTGTATATGTGTACCTAATATGTAGGTACCATGTACGAAATTTGTCTTGCGTACAAATTGGTAAGGTAAATCCAAATGTATTTTTAAGTTTTAACGAAACATATCGGTAATATTGGTTCCTGTACTTTTGTTAATACTAATTAGTACCTACTTACATCTTACAAATGTCAGTAGTTAATATTTATTCAACGTTATGGAGTTAACAACAATGTTTAGCCAGAATGACAAAATTTTAACATTGTTAAACAATTTTAAATTCAAATTTAAATACGAGTCAAAGACAAATGGTAATTAAACATGGGAATGCGTCAATAAAACATGCAAGGCCAAATTGGTCTTCAACAAGGAAAAAATTCTTGATCAAGAAAAATCTGTTTTGGATCATAGTCATAAATCAGATTCTTCAATTGAACGTCAAGCAGTAAGTAATAACTAATAATATTAAACGAAAAATATCTGAAAGCAATATAAACGAAATGCCTATAACAATCTTTTAAAATAATTTTTAATAATAATAATATTTTTTAATTTTAAAAATTGGTTTTTCTTAATTTTTACGCCTAATACTCTAATAGACTATATACTCTAATTAAACAATAAATGTGTATATAGTATATTATAATAAAAGGTATATAAAATAAATTGCCGCAGTTTGTAGAATGTATCTTATCGGTTTTGCCGCAGATTGTATAATCTTACATATCAACTTTTAGAAAAAGGTAAATTTTGCCGCAGTTTACCATCTCCCAAAGAAGAGTTCAAACAGGAATCTTAGCAAGCAAACCTTAGCAAACTTTTGATCCGAAGCAGGATGTTTTTTACCAGTTGGAACTGCAGGTGTAAAAGAGCACTCAACTCGGAATTTAATACATCCATTAAAGGTATGAATTCGATAACAATGTACACTAAAAACATACTTGATCGTAGAACCAATGTTTTATTTTGATTGATGTCAAATTTCAAATTAATCAAAGTTTTTATTTTTAATAGCCATTTTTATAAGAACTAATATTTTACATATACCGTCTCTCCAATAAAAAAAAAAAAGAAAGAAACACAAAAATTAGATAAATTATTTATAATTGACAAGCTCTTGGATCCTAAGAGTAAATACTTAAATTACAATTTAATTGGTTCAGTTAAGTTAGTATATTAATTATTTCAACATATCAGATGATTAACTAATCATTAATGTTCATTAAATCAATTTAACATATTTTTATTATCTTATATATGGTTGACTTCAATAGTTTTGTTACTTTCAGTAGTAGACTTTAAATCCAATAGATCCATTAATTTAGGGATGTTAAGCTCACACCAATTTTTAGGAAGGAATATATCATATTCTAAAAACAAAAATAAATACCTTTATTATAAATTAAATTATTTTTTATTATTTGTAGAATGTTAAATAGAAACATTTAAAATGTATAAATAATTAATTTTATGTAGGTACAAATTCGTTTCAAATTCGTCCTTTGTATTATTAAATAATGTCACATAATATGAAAAAATATTAAATAAATGAACAAAAAAACTACTTAAAACTTATGATAAAACATAAAACATGGTCCTTATTAATAAGAACCAATTTCATTTAATAAAATCGTATTTTTATTATAGATAAAGGGCTAAGATCGTATAGGATTAAATTTGAGTTCGTACACTAGAATAAAAGTAATTTTAGATTTAGTATATAATAATATAAAAAACTGATCATTTGTCAAGGTTTACCATTCGATTAAAATCTAGCAGAGAATCTATTTCAGAAATATTAGTCAATTCCTAGGCACATTTAGAAACTAAAGGAGTCTTATCAGAACGTTTTTTACTAGTGGTATTAACTATTACAACTTTTTTGTATTTAACCCATAATTATTTTACTTCTAGGCTTCAAGTCAATGCATAAAGGGATTGTGTACAGTCCGTGTAGAGGTGTAGAGACATCTGTATTATGTCACATTTTTAATCTGACGTGTGATTTCCACATCTCGTCGAAATAGCGACCAACTAATTGCACCCATTTACATATACACGCAAAATCCTCTTCAATATGGTACAAAAGAATAGTTGGGTTAGTCTTAGATCATAAAAATTTACTACATAAAAAAAGTTTAGCTGATGATAGATAAGGGTGTCTGGTCTTAAGTTTGCATATTCGCTGTAGACACGATTCCTGACAAATTTTTTTGTTTCATATTATCCAGTGCGACGATAGAGGCGTGAAGCTAAGTAAAAATAAAAAATAATGTAGTAGCCACTAACGTATAATAATAGGAAACTGAGTTGTTTTTATTGAAATACCGTACTAATTTTTGTTAATCAATAGGCCAGGTACTACAGGGCAAAGGGCCATAAATCGAATAAGATCGATTTAGATCAGAAATATTGTGTAGATGGGAACAGAGGAACTCGGAAGTAGATTGGTTAGATGGCTTAAAAGTTATAACCAAAAATTATTAAGTACTTTAAAGAACGATCTTGAGTATGGAACTGTAATGATGTGCTTCCGTAAGCAATCATAATTAAATATTTATATAATAAAATAAATAATTATGACCTTTAACTATAAGTCATCTATTAATATAATCATGTAAGACAAAAATTAAATATTTAATTACAATATAATTAAATGACCTATAGTTGAATCATAAGCACAATAAATAAAACATACACACACATATAGTATATTAATTATAAAAAGGCCGGTCATCGCCGGTCACACGCAGTGTCCTTATGTCTCTTTATACAGACGATCGCATGCGAGAGTAAAAGACTATGCAGATCGTATATACAAAGAGACATAAGCATTGAAGATTGTTAACTGTATAAATTAAATATATATCATGTATTAAAAGTTTTATAATAAAGTTAATGAGTTTAATCAAATTAAATAAATGTTGAAATTTCTTAAACGCATACTGGTTACATTCAAGACGTCAATAGAGAAAACATTGTCAGAAGGAAGAAAAAGAAAACATATCATACCTTATATATATATATATAAGCACTTTTCGAATTATTACACAACGCAAATATGGCAAAATATAATATGTCACCCCGATCCGTCGCTTATCCATCGTCACAACTCTTATTGCGACGGCAACGACGTAAGACGATTAAACGATTACAAAGGCGCGCTATTTTTTTAAGCACTTGGTGTTAGAAATTGGCATGGATAAGTGTGACGTGTAATTAAGAATTGTACTTTGAAATTAATTCGAGTTAATAGTTCTGTAGGATATATAAGAGCTAAAGTATTTAAGCCAAGTTAGTGCAGAACTGGCGAATAATCATGGGCTGGGTGATAAACTTTAACACATGTTTTGCAAAGTTCAGGAACTTACTTATGTTGGTCACTCTCAACTTGATTCATACCACAAGAAATAATTGGATCCCATACAATAGCTTCATATTCCAATATCGATTTCACAAAACACAAATTAAAGACTTTTTTGGAGTAAATATTTTAAATTTACTACTAATCCTATTTATAAAAACTAACTTTTTAAAAGCTTTACAACATATTCTATCTAATCGAGTTTGAAAATTTAACAAAAACTATAACCAAATCAATAATAAATGTGAGTTTGTCTACGACATGACGCCCCGACTCTCGGACGAGTTTTTTCATCACCACCACCCGAATCGTAACTATCCAAGCACTAATAGCCTTCCCTACGACAAACGATGAGCCAGCTGATTTATACGCCCGGGACAAATCACAACGACTGACGTACCACGTTTGTACCTATCTAGTACCTACATAAACCGGATTAGTCACGTCTTTATAAGAATCGATGCTATCAAAACAGTCTGAATGTCATCGACCGACTCGATCGTCGACCATTCCTATGCGCACAATAACGAATGAAAATGATGTGCGATTGTTTTTTTTTTTGCTTAGGTGTTTAATAATGTGGAGCTTAAACCGTATTATCACCACTATATTTTTAATATTTTATTATTTGTACTTATTGCAAATGTGCGCCAAAGCGTGCCACTCCGTGCTTCTGTCTTGTGTACGCACAGCATCGCATTACACTGTATTTTATTGTATACTTTATGTTTATATACTGTTTTTTTCAACATTTATTTCTTTCGAACAAAAATATTACCAACTCGAAATACCAAAAAACTAATGGTGTTATATTTCTTTTACCTTCTCCTAACCTCACATTTATCACATGATTCAGATCGCCTGTTTGCATAATTTGTCAAATCCAACAATTGTACCACATGTCTGTGGATTATTATCAATAATATGATACCATGTTATTTTTACTGGAATACGATAAGTAATATTAACTTTTACTATCATACATGATTCTAACCCAATAAAGAAAGATAGAATAGAAGTTTTTTACCATCTACTAATTTAATATTAAGTTAAGTATCAATTTTAAATTTTTATGACAGGTTATTTATTTATTGAATATCTAGTGCTAACCGTTGTGAGCCCATTTTCGATAAATTACACTGTTTGAAATTACGTATCAACACAGCACACGCACAGTATTGCTATTTTATAATTTAACAAATTACTATTAACAAAAATATAAATTATAATTAATGTATAATAAAATACATACGAGATGCTTTTTGTATAATAACCCTCAAAATATACTGGTAATATATATCTGCTTCTATTAAAAAAATATATATATATACCTCCTATATATTAGAGTATTCAGTTTAATAAACTATTTAAATAATAATTGTTCATTATTTAGGATTATTAATTTTAATATTTTATATTATAATAACTGCATTTTTGTTCATATATATCAATACATAAACGAAATGTTTTCAAGGTAGTTATTGACGAGGAAAGTAACAAGATTATGAATGATGGAACATGTTATAATTAAATTTAAATTGAGTACAATCATATTTACATTTGTGTATGAATAATAAATATACAATATGTATATTAAAATATTACTATTGTAGATGATAGTTCTGTATGATTGGAGATAACAAAGAGATAATGACTTCGACAGATGACGACGCATATCATTACTGGATTTGTATTATAACGGCGGTTGTCATAACCATACGCTTTCAGAATAGTAAGGTCGTCATTCAAATTCGTGGATTTTTATGTATAAAATCATTATACACATCAAATTTCCGGGAACATAATTATTTCATACTTATCGAGTATTAATTATTGTGATTTTTAATGAAATGATTATAATGTGACTTTATACTGAATATGTAAAACCCACAAGTTTAAGGATATGTAAGCAATAAAAATTGTTATACAAAAATATAATTTAGGTACCTTGCGAAGTGTTTGATTTACTGGTATCTGTTATAACAAAATACAATTAAAAAATATGTCATAAATTCTCTGATAAAAACTACATGATTGTATTTATATGTATTGTAAGAGGAGTGCATTTAATGTGGGCATTCGTTCTGTTTTAGTTTTTTATAGAACGATTAAATGTTTAATTCTGATCAATTTCTGAATAGTTTTTATTGTAGTTATTGACGGGGAAAGGAACAAAATTAAATGGAACACGTTATAATTAAATTTTACACGAGTACAATTATATGTACATTTGTGATGTATAATAAATATACAAAATATATATTAACTATATTATAACTATTGTAGATGAAAGTTCTTTATGAGTGGAAATAAAAAACAGATAATGATCGTGACATATCGCGACGCACACATCTCATTTCTGAACATGTATTGTAACGGCGGTTGTCATAACTATTATACACTGTCTGAATAGTAAGGTTGTCATTCAAATTCGTGGATTTTTATGTGTACATTTTGAGTATAAATTGCGATTTTTACTGTAATATTTATAATATGACTTGATACTGAATACGTAAAACCCACAAGTTTAAAGATTAATACGCAATAAAAAATGTTATACAAAAATATAGTTCACCTATCGATTTTTTCGATTCCTTTTCAACATCTAAAACAAAATACAATTGTAAAATGTATCATTAAATTTTCGGTATAAAATTACATATTTGTTTTAGATTTTTATAGAACGATTAATTGTTTAATTCTAATCAATTATTGAACAGTTTTTACAGTAGTTGTTGACGGGGAAAGGAACAAGATTATGAACGATGGAACATGTTATAATTAAATTTTACACGAGTACAATCATATTTACAATAGTGAATGTATTATAAATATATAATATGTATATAAAAATATAACTATTATAGATGATAGTTCTGTATGATTGGAGATAATAGAGAGATAATGACCTCGACAGACGAATACGCATTTAATTATTGGATATGATTATAAAGATGATTGTCATAACCATAGGCTTTCAGAATAGTAAGGTCGTCATTCAAATTCATGGATTTTTATGTATAAAATCATTATACACATCAAATTTCCGGGAACATAATTATTTCATACTTATCAAGTACTAATTGTGATTTTTAATAAAATAATTATAATGTGACTTCATACAGAATATGTAAAACCCACATGCTTAAGGGTATGTAAAGAATAAAAAATGTTATACAAAAATATAATTTAGGTACCATTCCAAAAGTTCGAATTATTGTAATCTGTTATAACAAAATACAAATATAAAATATGTCATTAAATTCCCTGATAAAAACTACATGACTGTATTTATATGTATTGTAAGAGGAGTGCATTTTATGTGGGCATTCGTTTTGTTTTAAATTTTTATAGAACAACTAAATGTCTGATTCTGATCAATTTTTGAACAGTTTTTGTAACGTTTAACCGAAACATGTTATTAAAAATCAGTGAATAACGTTGAACTCCAACCGTAGTGACGAAAATACAAAACCATAACTTTTATAGTTGATATTTAAAAATATAACGATTTTTTTAATTTATTCAGACAATGACTAAGGAATAAATAATATGCCTATAATAATTTATGAAAATTACATAAAATTATTTAAATTATAATTACGAATGCCCAAATTGCAAATTTGTTTGTCATTAACTGATTTAGTCCTGATTCGCCGCTTTAGCATGGTTATTTGTACGGTCTTTATTTGTTAATACACGTTCGTATAAATTCCACATTTAATAGAAAACAAAACACATCTACAAGAATCGTGTTTATATCAAACAATAATAAATTAAGTATTATGGTTTTACTTTTATAAATAGGTATATTTTTCCTATGTAGTACATTTTCGACTTTTTAACAACAATTTAAATTTGTAATCAAATCAAGTGTGATAGATTTAGAATAAAGGGTTTAATAAATTTTTATTTATACTAATCACAGCATATAGCGTAAAAATAATCAAATACGCGTGAGAAACTGAAGTACATTATACCTAAAATCTAATTTCGTATAAATTTGATTATTACTTGATAAAAATGGTCTATTATACATTCCAGTAGCTAAAGAAGAAAGTGTGTAATTATTAATAATTTATTATATCTTTTTAGTTTTTGCTTTATCTCTAAATAATTGATTGCTTCTTAAATTAAGCAATCGTACCAAACTATAATGCAACATGATTTAAAATAAAATTTTATTTTAATAAATAATGATGTAAAAAGTAGGTACCCATTTGCATGAATAGATAACACATTGAACTTAATTTATTAGTTTAAAAATATTATGAATTTATTTTATATTTATTTTTTTTTTTTTGTTTAGTGAATATTAAGTATAAACATTTTTTTTTTAGATAGCGCGTATATTAGATAAAATCCATCTGTGGATTGAAGGAAATGTATAGACAGCCAATTCGAACTAATTAAATTTGAGGTAGGTCAGGTAGGATATGTTATTAATTTGAAATGAGTAAGTAAAAGTACCGGGGAGTCATTTAAGATTGAATCAAATTTTCTATGTACATGGGATATTTTAAAGGCAGCATAAACATTAAACATGTCTGAAATATTTAAAAACTTTGAATGATTACACTATGGTGTTAGTAACAAAGATAATAGTAAAGAGAGGCGTTTAGAGTAGGTGTAGCCTATCGTAAGATGTGAAATAAGACAGATTCCGCTTACATTGTTTTAATGTTAATTATTTTATGTAACGTTAAAGTTATTGTAATAAGTGTAAATTGAGAATTCTTATTTAAATCGATAATGACCTATTAACCTTATTTTTTACATTTTTTATATTAAAATGAATTTTTTAAGCGGATAGTTCATTCATGGTTATTGGGAAATATGTCTACTCAGCTTAGTGATAATACTTGCAAATACATAATACGATGACGACGAATACAAAATGATTGTACTTATGTGTAGTCGCCATATGGCGCATGAAAACAAGCAAGGCCCCATGGCTAAACGGGATCACAGCAGGAATCCTGCGGCAGGCGTGGCCCGTCCTTAAAAACCAAATTTCGTTTACGTTCAACAGTTCACTAGCTACGAGTATATTTCCGAGCCAGTGGAAAAACACGGCGCTGGTCGTTATTAGGAAATCGCCCGATAAGGACCCGATGGAGGCTAGATCTTACTGACAGATTAGCTTTCTCCCCGTTCTAGCTAAGGCAATAGAACACATCATCGTGGCGAGAATCCGTAAAGATACGGACCTCCAAATGTAGGCCACGCAATTTGATATTACCAAGAACTTATTGACCGTTTACACGATGCTTCTTGTTTTGAATTGGTCAGATAAAGGCGGGAGAAAAACGTCATAGGCCCTAGCTGAGTGTTGAACCCTAGGGGTCGGTATTAGTGGGTGGATCCGAGGAAAAAGTCGGGTCCAGCGTAGCGGGCCTACTACGGTCATCGTCCTATGTCAGTGAGGGTGCGGGGTATCCAGCCAGGCCCCCGATGCTTTATCTACTACTAGTGCTGAGGCAGACTTGTCTTCTAGAGAGAGTTCGAAACAGGCCCTATCCAGCGCCCTGAAAGCCACTGAAGAGACTGTAGGATACGTGTACAAGACAAGATTGTCAAGTGGAACATTGGTAAGGAGAACCCAAGTGGAATCGCCGTATGGTAAATAGATAGAAGATTCCATGAGATGTATGGAAGCCTTGGAAAACGCAATGCAAGAAGCACCAAACACGAAAATTGATATCAAGAATAGCATGAAGGCTTTTGGTCTAGCCCTAAGAAAGCTCCACAAAGCAGCGAAGGCGCTTGGACATCAGCAGCAAGGTTAGGTAAAGCTACAGAAGCGGAAAGGCTATGCTTCCGCTGCAGACAAGAAGGCCATCTCATCAAAGATTGCCCTGGCAGACGCCCGATCAACCAGCTAACAATTGATAATTGTGATAGAGTGGTAGAACCGAGCACGGTTCCGGAGATAAATCTCCCATGATGTTCTCATTTTTGCAAGTAAAGCTGAACCACCGCAAAGTAGCTCAGTATTTGCCCCGGCAGTACTTGTCCGAGCAAAAAGTCGATGTTGCGCTGGTGAGTGAACCCTACTTTGTGCCATCCAACAGCAGCTCATTACTGGTCAGTTCTGGCACTCGATGAGCAGCAATCTAGCTAGTAGGTGAAGGTTTCGCGCTGGTTATTATCCACCAAGACCCGGAATTCATTACCATCCGTCTCAACGGGGTTCAAATATTCAGTTGTTACGCGTCTCCAAAATGTTATAAATGTTATAAATGTTATAATGTTGTAACCTAACCTGAGTTGACATTAGAAATGCGTTCAACACCATTGGATGGACGGAGGTTTTGACGGCGTTAAACGCTTTGAATGATCCTGCATACATCCTGCGAATTTTTCTGGACTACTTCCGGTGAAGGACAGCAGAAACCTAGGCAGGAAATGACCGGGTAGAGGTATGCGTATCATGCGGTGTGCCTCAAGGGTAGTAGGTTCCCTTTTGTAGAACATAGCCTACGACAGGGTGCTACGCCTGCAACTTCCGACGAACGTTGAACTACTGGCTTTTCCGATGACACCATGGTCATTGCATCGGGAAGATCCATTGCCGAACTGCAGAGAAATACCAACAAGACGCTGTCGGTGTTGTTCACCAACAAGTACAAATACCCTAATATTATTCTCAACGGACAGACAATGGAGATGAAGCAGCAAATGAAATACTTGAGGATAGTGATCGACCGGAGGTTACAGTTCAAGGCGCCCATATGCGAAGCCTCCACGAAAGCATAGAAGACAGCGAACTAGCTAAGGCGCTTGATGCTCAATATCGACGGCCTGAAACAGCCGCCTACGCTAGAGTACGTACCCGCCAACGTAGAGCAAATAAACCGTGTCCAGCGTAAGGCGCTAAGGTTAGGGTTAGGTTAGTCACAAACTGGAAGCTGGACCAAGCTCCTGATAGCTGACATCGAGTCGTGATGTAGCAAGCGGCATGGATGCTAGACTTCCATGTCACCCAGTTTCTATCTGGACATAGCTGCTTCGAGCAGTACTTGAATAAGATCGGCAAAGAGAAGTCTAGGAAGTGTCATCACTGCCAGGATGAGAATGAAACAGCAGAGCACACGCTCTTTGAATGTCCAGCGTGGGACGAAGATAGGAGGGAGATGGCAAGCGTTTAATATTTATTTATTTGTTGTAATGTAATGTATGTCTTGTTGTGCAATAAACGATGCGGCCAGGGGAGTAGCAATGCTTACGCAGTTCCTCCTCCGATCGCGATATCGTATAAAAAAAAAAAAAATAAATAAAAAAGGGTAATTGCAGTGGGACGATGGCCGAAGGCTGCCGTTCTTCCGTTGTCGTCGCAAACATGGCCATAGGCGTTAACCTAACCTAACCTAACCCTAGCCGTGAATTAGGGTTGAGATACCTCGCGAGGCGTTTTTGGTGCACTCTCTCCATATGAATAATTCTTGCCTAGACCGAGAGCTCGAATCATACAGGTTAGACTACTCTTCGGGCGAAACACGTGCGTGTTTTCAGCTAACTCGGGGCTTGATACGGCAGAGGCATCAAGCAGAAACGGCAATCCGACGCTCTGAGGGCGACGGCAACGGTGTTTACCGTTGACCTAAGATCATCTGCGACGAGTCCATCGCACTTGAAGAAGGACTCGTGGTGGTTATGGGAGTACCGCCTTTGTAGAAGAGGTCTGACTCGGGCGGTATCTGTCGGGCTCTGGTCGTGGCGGCGACTCATTGTGTCGCCTAAAGTGAGGTGGCACCACGCGAAGGTTCACCGAATAAACATCCGGGGCTCCCTCCCAGAAGAGATAACCACGCTGTTGCGAACCTGGTTCTGTACTGACACGTGGAAAAAAACGAGTAGGAGGGCAGCAACGAGATGAATAAAAAAAAAACAGGTTCAGTTGATATGCTGGTGATTTTTCTTTTATTGTGAAAAAAAACAATTTGGCAATCAAGGTTGACAATAAAAAAAATATATAAGTAATGTTCACTGTACGGACGAATTTCAAGGGCAAAATCGCGTACGGTAAGGATCATAAGACTGACTACTATCCTATTACCGGTTCGCGGTGTCGGCGGTCAAGACGTTCCGAAACCGTTGTCGTGCATCAGCATCATCCATCGTCGGCTGGCGGTTGGATAGAGAAGTGATTCCGCAGTTTTCCGCGTAAAGGCCGTTTGAATTCTAACGGATATTACACGAGACCCCACGTCAACGCGAATACATAAAGGGGTAGAATGTCTTGGGGTAACCCGGAAGAACTGGTTGGACCCCGCAACCCACGGAAAAATACACCTATGCGAAATATGAATGATGTGTGTCAAAGTCGTGTTTCAATACACTAAAGACTGTTATGTGAACACGAGTTACGTAAATTATAGTATTATAATAAAAATATATTTTTAATAAATTAATATTATTAATTAATAGCCTGAATCTTTCATTTTTTTAATTTAAATTTCAAACAATCAAATGCATTTCAACAACTTATATTTTTCATAATCTTTGTTCTATTGATGATAACTTAGTAAAAGTTCATTACTTAAATAAAATCAGTCAAAAAAATAACTGTATTAGTTTTCTTACCAGTGTCAAACGACATTATTATATCAGAATATTTTTTATCTATAAATAAAAAAATAATAAATATGTTTATACTACCTATAAGAAAAAGGTTAGGTTTTTCTGGTATGTTAGAGTGATCTTTAACATTTTTAAATATTAAGCTATTTTTAACTTGTGGTGCTATCATATCGTAACCTATATAAATATCTACCAATAAAATAAGTTAAATTTTGACTTATCATGAATCGTAATGTCACACAAGGATTTCTAAATTTAAGAATATATATTTTCGTTAAGCAATTATACACTTACTATGAAATCTCTTTTTAATAACCTCTATTTATAAATTTAATATTTAAAAAAAATAATGTAAATACAAAAACGTTTTTATATTATTTTAATGAATGACAGGTACTCTTACCAAAAATGTTAAACATTTATTATTTAATTATTAATATACTATAAATAAGTTTGAACATGATATTTTATAATTATATTAATAACGGTATAACTGAATATAATGTTAAATTAATGTCATTTATTAGGTTGGTATTTAAAATTTTATACATTTTAAAGGGGCTTTCATCAAATTTTTTATTGGTTAACTTTAATCTATATTAATACGATCATATGAATTAAAAAGTGAGCCTTTTATAACAGGTTATACAAAATTTTTATTTTATTATACTTAAATAATACTTGAAATATTCATTTATTATATTCTTAATTAAACGATTGATTGATAAGATGTTTTGTGTTTCTAGGTCTGTTATGTTTTATGATTAACTATCATAGAAACGATAAACTAAGATTTGATTAATGATTAGGTTAAAAAAATTATTAATTTAAAGTCAGTTAACTTACGTTCACAGTCTAAGGTTACAAATAAATTATAAATCAAACGTATTTAATTCAATTATATTTACAGTAAAACTACAAAATAAAATTTTAATTTTTTTTTTTTTTAAAGCTGTTACATAGTTTTTATAATAAAATTCTAATATGGAATTATTGTGATGATTTCAATGTGTGTAATTACCTATTATTATAATCAAGTAAATATAGCTTGAAATTAATTTCAGGCGCATGTTGTTAAGTATGTTATATTATCAGTAATAACAATTAAAAAATGTATCATTTTATTCTTTAAAGGTGACCAAATAGTTTTATATTACAAGAGTTAATTTATTTTAATATTGTTTTTTTTTCAATCTCTCAATTATCAGCTTTAAGTGTCCCAATTATCACAATTGCAACAAACTACGTCTTTATAACATATCATATTCGCCGACGATTTCTATATTTATTGCAATGGGAATAATATAGAAATCATGTTAAACATTCTACAATCATCATTAAAAATCCTCCAAAACTGGTGCAACGAAACCGAATTCAAATTTTCTGTTGCCAAAAGTTAATTCATTATATTCAACTACAAACCTAAAAAAGACCAACACCTACACCTAAAAAACACACCATTATTTTGACAAAATACTAGGAATAAATTTTGATGACAACCT